CTAGTAGCAACCAGCTTCAGTTCATAGCTTAGCCTTTCCCAGACACTACAAGTCCAAATCAAGTGGCAACCATCTGCAGATCACTTTGTAGCTTATACCAGGTGGCTCTGAGCAGGGCACAGTAGTGACTGATATTGGTCCGAACCTCCCAAGAGGCCCCAGAACCAATATATCTGGTGACCAGCATCAGGCTACACCAGAGCACCACCCAACCACTTCCAAAAATGACACACTCAAAAGGCAGACTCAGCAGGCACCAGAGCCATGCTAAGGTAAATCTGGCTTCATAGTTTCAGCACCTTCACATAGCTCCTTCTGCCTATAATCACAGGCAGATCTCACAACAAATCAGTCTGAGGGTCAATTCCTCCCACAGACGTGCCAACAACAACCAGAGCTCAACTACAACAGGTGGGCACATACACCATACACAAGAGACACTCCTGGAGCACCCAGCTCAGATGGCCAGGGAGACTGCACCACTGGGTTGTATATGACACCAAATTTTACCAAAACCAGGAGACATAGCAGCTCTACCTTATACATAGAAACAAACACAGGGAGGCAGCCATAATGAGGAGAGAAAGAAACATGCCCTGCCCCCCCAAAAAAAGACAGAACAAAAAGCCAGAAAAAGAATTAAACAAAATGGAGACAAGCAACCCACCAGATGCTAAGTTCAAAACACTGGTTATAAGGATGCTTAGTGAACTTAAGAGAAGAGTAGATGAACTTAGTGAGAACATCAACAAAGAGATAGGAAACTTAAAAATGGAGACAAAACATAAAAAAGAACTAGTAAGAATGGAGAATAAATAACTGAAATGAAGAAATCAACAATAGATTACATGAAGCAGAGGACTGAATCAGAGATTTGGTAGAAAAGGTAGAAGAAAACACCCAATCAGAACAGCAAAAAGAAAAAAAGAATCCATAAAGTAAGAATAGTTTAAGGGGTCTCTGGAACAACATCAAGTATACCAACATTCTCATCATAAGGATACCAGAAGAAGAGAGAGCAAGGAATTGAAAACCCTTTGAAGAAATAATGATGAAAAACTTCCCTAGTCTAGTGAAGGAAATAGACATTCAAGGCCAGGAAGCAAAGAGTCCCAAACAGGATGAACCCAAAGAGACCCATAACCAACACACATCATAATTAAAATGCCAAAGATTAAAGACAAAGAGAGAATCTTCTTTAAAGCAGCAAGAGAAAAGCAGTTATTTACCTACAAAAGAGCTCCCATAAGACTGTCAGTTGATTTCTCAACAGAAATTTTGTAAACCAGAAGGGATTAGAACAAAATATTTAAAGTGATAAAAAGCCAGAACCTACAACCAAGATTACTCTACTCAACAAAGACACCACTTAAAATTGAAGGAGAAATAAAGAACTTCCCAGACAAGAAAAAGCTAAAGGAGTTCGTTGCCACCAAATTAGTATTACAAGAAATGTTAAATGGACTTCTTTAAGGGGAAAAGAAGACTAAAAATATGAATAATAAAATGGCAATAACTACATTTCTATCAAAAATTATTTTAACTGGCTCTGGCTGGTGTGGCTCAGTGGACTGAGTGCCAGCGTCTGAACCAAAGTCACTGGTTCAATTCCCAGTCAGGGCACATGCCTGGGTTGCAGGCCAAGTCCCCAGTGAGGGGCTCACAAGAGGCAACCACACACTGATGTTTCTCTCCCTCTCTTTCTGCCTCCCTTCCCCTCTCTATAAAAATAAATCAATACAATCTTGAAAAATAAAAATAAATAAATAAATAAATAAATACTTTAACTGTAAATGGATTAAATGCTCCAATCAAAAGACATAGGGTAGCTAAAAGGATAAAAAAACAAGACCCTTACATGACAGTGATCTACATAGACTTATTTCAGATTGAACACAGACTGAAAGTGAAGTGATTGAGAACATATTTCATGAAAATAGAAATAATAAAAAAAAGCTTGAATGGATAAAGAAATGTTGCATAAATACAATAGAATATGACTGAACCATAAAAGAGAAATAAATCTTGCCATCTGCAACAGCATGGATGGACCTAGAAAGTATTGTGCTGAGTGGAGAGGAATAAGTCAGATAAAGACAAATGCAATAGGATTTTAATTTACATGAAGCATTTAAAAAACAAAATAAATAAAAGGAAAAGTATAATTTAGGATATATTTTCCTTCAGTTTGTTTTTAACAAATACTATTCCACATCCTGAGGAAGATTTTAAAAGTCTGTAAGACCCTGTCCTCAGGGATTTATACTTTACAAATTATACATTGATTATAATAGTTTTTCATTATAAATAGGATAAATTATATTGCAAGAATCTAGTAAATAGATTCCTAGTAGACAAATTTTTTTTCACATCCAAAGTGTCCAACAAACCTTCTACTGATTGGATCATAGATTAGAAAATCAAAATAATCCCTTCTCAACAGTCTCAATGCAAACTTAAAATAAATATTAATAAATAAGAAAAAATTTCAAATTGTAGAAACAAAACAGAGCAACAAGACAGAAACAAATTCAGATACAGAAAACATTTTGATGGTTGCAAGATGGGAGGTGGGTTGGAGGGATGGATGAAAAGGGCAAGGGCTTAAGAAGTGCAAACCAGTAGTTACAGAATAGTCACACACACATAAATTACAGCATAGGGAATGTAGTCAATAATACTGTAATAACTATGTATGCTGTCAGATGGATACTAGATTTATCATGATGGTCACTTCATAAGATATATACATGTTTTATATCTATGTTATACATCTGAAACTAATATAATATTACCTATAATTAAAAATTTAAAAATTATGTAAAAAGTTCAAACAGTGCTATCAATTTATATTGGGCCACAAAGCTAAGGGGGTCCTTTTCCCCCCCTGAGTTTCAGTCTGTTTTGAGAGTCTCTTTGTTGATACAGCTGGTAAAGTCAGTGATTCTGGGGAGAAGCTATCTGCTTCTGATTTGTTTTGGGGTGTTGAAATAAGACCTTCTCACTTCACAGAGTGCCAAGATGAAGGTGTAGTCCTAGGGCTCAAAGGGACAGGGAGCTGTTTGGGTCAGTTTTGTTTCCAAACCTTAGAGTTACTACGCATGTTCCTCATGGCTTCACACAGTGATCTTCACTGAGGAAAGGGGAATTATGAAGGAGGTGCTGTTGGGATAAGAATCAGTTTGTGTATCTGCCATTATGCAGTTTATGTCCCTTGAGAGACATAAGTCATACCAAGGTCATAGAGATGACTCAATGAGATGACATATACCCTGGTTTGTCCTGGATCATTCTGGTTTAAACTTTTTCCAGTATCCTGCCCAGTTTAGAAACTGACACCCATCCCTCAATGTTCCTGTTTGGATAAGTTTTACGTCTTAAAGCCCAAGCCCTATAACTTTGAAAACAATGCCTTTTCAGCTTCTCTAGGCTGTTGCTTATTTGTTTCTATGCTATTTTCAGGTCTCTGCAGGAAAAACTTATCACCACTGCTCAAAGCATATGACATTAATAAAGGACAGCATCAACATCTCCATTTTTGAAGAGCAAACTATTAAAAAGAGGATCAGTAAAATCATAATACCTCAATACAATTTTATCAAATAAAAATCAAAACAGGTAAAGTTTGTGCATTTTATTGCTATTTAAAATCTTAACCATGTCTCCTAAAATTTTAGATATATTTATGATCCTGATTTTCCATGAATTTTATTGTGACTTGGCAATATTTGCAAATTTTATAGTCTTAATGTTTTCCTTCCCAAGTTTTTCTCCTACCACACTGTGTTTCTATAGTTTTCTCAGAAGCCACATCAAAGATTTTAAAATGTATCACTTGCAATTTAGTTAATGTTTTCTTAAAAAACTCCTGTTTGTTGGGTAATAAGGAAACTTTGATACTGAAAACGGTTACTCTAAGTGCATTTAAGGGACATGTTAAGGTTGGGCATTCAGTGCGTAGGTGTTTAACACACAGACATTTCAAAGCTCCTGGCAAGATCCACTGTGAATGAAGGCAGAAAAGGAAAGAACATTTGGGATAAATAGAACTGCGCTACAACAAGTAACAAAAATGCAGGAAATAGTGAAATAATATTGTTCCCTAAGAAGACCTTTGATCTCAATATTCTTTGGTCCCATAATTGTAGTCTGTTGCCAAACAGAACTGTGAATTTAAACCTCAAGTTTAATGAGGTAGAGCAATTTATTTTCCCCCTTACCTTAACATGATGCCTACATTTCAACAATTGTCAATTCACTTACTGTTGGGTGTTCTGTTAAAAGAACCAAGCAGTTTACTCTAGCTCTCTGTCCTTACCCTAGATTCCTGTGTATAATGCTTTCAATTATAATAAACCACCTACTGAGTAAATACAGGGTATTATTTAGGAATTATCATTTTGTTTTAATCCATATATGCCCTATGACCTCAAGGACTAATGGCATATGTGGTATCTAGGTTATTGGCATCATGCTTAGAAGCACTCAGAACCAACACATTCCCAAAGGCAGTTGACTGCTGGTGGCTTCCAGAGAAGACTATAGTCATCTGCAGATGATCTAGAATGATCATTATCCTTCTGTGCTAAAACCATGCTTCCCAGAAAAATACATCATGTCAAAGCAAAGCCTCCTCCTTACGGTAGGGAAGCTTCAAAATCCAGACAGGAAATGTATGGAGAGGTGATTCTTTGTATCAGGAATAATCCTGGTGCTGTAGGCATCTGAGTCTCTCCCAGTTCATGTCTCATTGATGCACACTGGTGAGGAGGAGGGCCAAAGAAATCTTATTTCTGGGGCTTGATAGACGGAAACTAAACACTGAAGAGAGGGGGGAGGTCTAATCCAAAGTCTTGGGTGGGTGCTCTAGATGTGTTAGAGTTCTTCATCTTAAAGTTATATACACACACATGCATGCACAGGTGTGTAAAATTATCTGCGCTATGACAACCACTATGTATATGTTACCTTTTTCAAAATATTTAAGTTAGCATCCTTACCTCATCTGCAACTTTCCATATTTCTTCATCATTCCACTGTTCATAGGGATCCAAATTTTTTCTAAATGTTCCAGAGAAGATAAATACTTTCTATAGTAACAAGGGAAAAAAGAGTAAAGCGTGAATAACCAAATAGATTTTTATTTTGCCTACATTTTATTGTGAAATATTTCAAACAGAAAATATATTTTATTTTATTTTTTTACATTATTATTTTTTTATTTTTTTAAATTTAATTTCTTTTCTTTTCTTTTATTTTCTTTTAATTTATTTTTTCAAATACATTTGTCTCTGCCCACCCCCCACCACTTTCCCTTGCCCCCTCCCTCCTTCCTTCCCTCAGCTCTTCCCCTTTGGTTTTGTCCATGAGTCCTTGCTATATGTTCCTTGACTTTCCCCTTCCCTTCCTTTTCCCCGCCCCTCCTCCCTCCTTCCCTCTTGTCTCTATTGATTTCTTTTCCTTTCAGTGTTGCTGGTGTTATTTTCCTTGCATCTTTGTATTGTTGGTTAGGTTCCACTTATAGGTGAGATCATATGGTATTTGTCTTTCACCCCCTGGCTTATTTCGCTTAGCATAATGCTCTCCAGTTCCATCCATGCTGTTGTGAAGTTTAGTAGTTCTTTTTCTCTTTCTGCTGTGTAGTATTCCATTGTGTCTAATTTATTTTCTTTATTTTTTCAAATACATTTGTCTCTGCCTTCTCCTCACCACCAGAAAATATATTTTAAAATATAATATCCACCCATGTACTTACCACCTAGTTTTCTTAAATTTAAAAAATTTTATATTTGCTCTGTATCATTTTTTAAGAAATATTAATATAGCCATATTTGAAGCCCTTTATGAACATGTTTCTAAACACAGTGTTTTTAGGATAAGGAAATTAAGATTATTGTAAACTATAGGAAATTAAATTTTTTTTAGAAATATTCCTTCTTATAAACAAGTATAATATTAAATAGCTAAAAAATTTAAGATTGAGTTACAATGGTTTGAAAAAATTATTAGGTTGTATCAATGTATATTCCTTGAATTTCTATTATAAACCTAGCTTTTTAAAGGGATTTTAAAACTGAATTACAGACACTCATTTGAACACACAAAATATCTGGTGTATATACCAAGGAACACATCTACTTCCAAAAACAGACAGGCTCAGGAGAATTAACTTAGAAATCAGTGACAGGGCAGATATAAAATATTTGTTTAACTGACTGCATGTCACAGAGGGAAGAGAGGCAAGTGAGACTGATCCTGCTGAGGTAACACATTGACAATCAAACTCCTTGCAAAGAAATGCTCAGCTGTCACCCTGAGACACTCTACTTGCCAAGTCACTGACTACTTAAGTTGACCTATATGATTAAATAATGTTTTGAATGAAATTTGCTATTTCACTGGGAAATGATGATATACAATAATAATATTTAGTTCTCTCTTTGTGCCTATGGGTGAACCAAAAAAATATTTTTGATGTTAATATTCATAATATTTTTTGCTTTGTCTATTTTTTCTTGCCTTTGCTTAGTAACATGCAGTTAGAAGAATCAAAAACTGACTTTTTTGAAGGCTTAGTCTTTACAAATTGCCTGTGACTGAGAGAGAATGGTCAGTGCCAATCTGATCTGTAGGAACTGCACAAGGCAAGATTAGTGATGTCTGTGCCTCTCAGGCAGAACAAGAGGCACTGGAGACCTCATTCCCAAGTACATAATTTATGGCTTAAAGGACAAAGGTGTTGCCAAATATTGCAGGAACCTTTTGGAGCCCCAGTAAGAAGGCTTTTCTGTTTTACTTAACCTGCATTGAAATTCTCCCGAAGGGATGCATGCATACATTGCTTTACAGAAGTGGATATAAGAGTTGACTAGATGACTCATCATATCATAAGATAAATGATAGAAATATCTGTGCATCCTTCTCCAAGCTTCCAAGTAAATTAAAGCAATGTCCAAATACACTAAAGAAAGCAGATAAGAGGAAATTATCAGAGAATTCTGATAACCTAAAGAGAATTAAAGGAGAAATGGCTCTGAGAACTTGAGTTAATTTATTAAGAATTTGGGTTTATTTGGTACCTAAAGTTCAAACACTTGTCAATAGGATTTTGCCATGTACTATTTTTTACATTTTTCTTTTAATGTTGTGGTTCCTTATATCAAAAGTTTCTAGTATTATTGGGAGAGATGGGAAATAACTGTGAGTGTTTACCAAGCATCAGACAACATGCTATGTGCTTTCAGAAGTTACCTCCACTGGGAACTAAGCAGCTGAAACACAGAGTTCTGGCTTATGGTGTCAGGTTAGGCTCTTTATGTGTAGTATCTCTTCATCTTCATATCAGCCTTAGAAATAAATCCTATTATTGCACATGAAGAAGTCAGTGCATGGAAAATTTAAGTGACTTTTCCAAGATCACTTAGCTAGCAGAACCCAAGGGTGTTTGTCTTCAAACCTGTGTTCCTCACCATCATTGCAAAATGCCTCAAGTCCTACAAATTTTTTCCTCCCATCTGGAGCTTAGGATAGATTAAAGGTTGGGCAGGATCAGTCATATGGGTTCATAAAGATCCCAACAGCACTCAGAAGCATAGTCTTAAAGCACTGCTATAGATCCCCCTGGTCACAGCTCAGGTCCTGCACTGTCCATGGAGAGGTTAGTTCCCTCTTCTCATGCAAAACCTGAGTTGAAGGATTCTATATGGGCTACAGTGTCTTTGTAAATTTCGAGAGACTTACATATCCAATGGAACAGCACAATAGAAATTTTTAGTGCAAAGAGAATAGTGCCATTATTCTAGATGGCTATGTGTGGAGACCAAAGTATCATAACATCAAAGCAGACACAGAAGTTATTAAAGGTAATGTGGTTTGCAAAAATGGTATAGTAATATAGCTCTGGACTGGTAGTTATATCTGGAAATAAGAGCCGAAGCTCTATGAGCCTCAGTGTTCAGTGTAAAATGGGAAATGCTATCTCTCTTCTCAAGTACACCATACCCTTAGCCTTTCAATTTCAACACATGGCTCCTTCATTTCCTCAATCCAGAAGTTTGGAAGTCATTCATGACTTACCTTTCTTCCTAATCTTCCCAAAGAGAATCAATCATCAGTCCTGTGAACTGTTTTCCCAAACTATATCTCAAGTCCATTTATCTTCTATCTCTATTGCTACCACATAGTTCAAGCCATCAACACCTCTCTCTGGAACACTGCAAGAACCTCCTAACTGACCTATTTCTTTCGCTCTTGTCTCCCTTTCAGTCCACTCTCATTTAGCAACCAAAGCAATCACTACAAGTATAAACTGGATGATGTTATTAACCTTTTGAAAAATCTTCAGTGGCTTTCCATTGCACCCGGGGAAAACATAAGACACTTAAGTTGGTTGACAGAATCTACATGATTTAGCCCCTTCTACTCCTTTTGGCTCATTTAGTGCCCTTCTCTATGCCCCTCCCCTTTTCCTTCTAGCCTCATGGCATTCTTCTACTTCCTCACTTTCTTCACACATTCTATTCTCCCTGCCTATGAATCTCATCCCCTACAGTCTTCCTATGGCCAACCACATCTTTCAAGTCTCAAACGAGATGTTACTTCTTCTAATTGGCATCTTTCAAATCTTCAAAAGCAAATAAGGTCTCTCAATATAATAACTGCGTTCTACTTTCCCAGCTTATAGTGAATATTAACATTGCACGTGCCTTTGTGAACATTTTTGTAATGTTTATCTCTTCTACACCATAACTTTGCTGTGTACTCTGTCATTAACTCACAGGCTTTGTACATCGTATATGCTCCATAAATGTTTCCTGAATGAATAAATGGGCTGATGTGAAGATAAAAAGTAAAAATATGAAATCACAGTCACAGTTCAGCACATATTAGTTTTTTTTCTTTTGGTAAGAATAACTACTATGACCCTCAGTCTTTAAAGAAGTAATACTAACAACCCATTAAAACTTTGATCTCTATATATAATTGCTTGGGAAATAGTTGCCTAACTTTTTCTAATGGCCTAATAAATTATATATAATATTTATCAAATGTATAGTAATATATATAATTAATTTTATTTCAAATAGGTATATATTCAAAATTATGAAGGAAGAAAACTGCTGAAATTAGACATCTGAAAGTTTGAGATGTATTTAACACCATTCAGAAATTCTGCAGGTATTTTGTTTACAGTTTATTGTCTAACATTAAAGTAATGTTTTAATTTAATTTTATTCATTTTCTTCAGAAGACTTTATTTATTTTATTTTTAGAGAGATGGGAAGGGAGAGAGAAAGAGATGGAAAGAAACATTGATGTGAAAGAGAAATATCAATTGGTTGCCCCTCACATGTGCCCCAACCAGAGGCTGAACCTGCAACCTAGGCTCATGCCCTGACCAGAAATTGAATCTGTGACCTTTTGCTTTGCAGAATGATGCCCAAACAACTGAACCATCCTGGCCTGGGCACACTTTAATTTTAAAGAAAAACTAACTGAATTAATCTATTCAGTTAAAATTCAATTTCATACAATTAAATCAAACATTCTATTCCTGTCTTACAAACAGTATCTGGCACTCTCTTGCTTCCATGGGTACCAGTAGTTGTCTAAACTGTTTAAAGTTTTCACAAATTCATACCTAAAGTTGAGACATCTTTGAAGGTCACCTACATCCTTTTTCCTGGCTTACAAATGAAATAGCTAAGGCCCTAAGAAGTTACATAACACAGACTGATTGTACAGCGATATATAGAGAGATGATAGATGATAGATAGATAGATAGATAGATAGATAGATAGATAGATATAGATATACCTGAAACTATAAATCACAATGATCCTCTATCTCTCTTTTGAGAAACTGCTCACAAAATAGCAAAACTAGGATGTGCAAATGTTTGATATTTAAGGTCATGTATGTATGGTATAAAGAGCAATTTTTGGGACCCAAGGAAAAATAAAAAGAACACCATTGTTCATTTCCTGACTAATCTCTTTCCTGAAGCTGACTCAAGACAGGCAAGCCTACATGGACTGCTCAAAGCTGCTCATATATCACTGCAGTGGGCAGTCTGGTTTAGCTTTTGGAT